GAAGAAAGAACAAGGTTTTATTTTCTTTCTTTTTTTTTAAATTTTTTGCATGGCTTTAGTATTTGAAAATGTTATTCTTGAGTTGATCCCATAGCCTAGTGGTTAAGAGAGCTGGGTCCCGCATACCTGATCTCATATTATACAAATACCAGGATTGGCAGCTTGAAAACATGCAAGGCATGTGTGCACGTGTGCCTTAAAACCCACCAGGACAGAAAAATGGAGGAGAAGGGACTGAAGCATAATCCTGCCCCACTGGGGATGTTTTCTCTCTCTCCCTCTCACTGTCTTTCTTTCTGTCACTGGTGAATGCCTATGTTCTCTGGCAATTAAAAACAATGTACAAGTATTATTCTTGTATGTATGTCAGCCAACCTAACTAGAACACGGTTCTTAGTGGAGGGGGTACACCACCTTGGGGCTGTTTGAGTATTTAAGAGACATTGGGGTATAGTTATGACTGAGGAGCACTACAGATATTAAGGCGGAGGGCAGATAGGTGACACATTACAATATGAGGGACAATCTCTCATAAGAAAAATGCTGACCCAGACAGATTCATGTACTTTGGATGCTGCTACTCAGCAGGCTGGGTCCATAGGGGAGGCCTGGTTTTGTTTCTCAGCTCACCCTAAAAAGCCAAGTGCAGCGGTTTGCACATGCAGTCCCTATAAATCTCACACTTAAACCTAAAAGAAAAATAAGATTCCACTATGATTTTAGAATGTCCTACCACCATCTGTGTTTGTGAAAATTTCTTTTATAAATATGTAATCTAGAACTTAACTCCTTTTACATATAAATACAAAGGTGTTTTGCATGGCAATTTATATACACTAAATGAAAGGAAGATCAGAACAAGTATTTACTGCAGGTCACCTATAGTCACTCATGGTATTGGAGTTGCCAACACAACAAGCCTGTGTTACACTGTGTCAGTAGTTGTCACGACCATGGTGATTTAACATACAAGTGCACATATGTGATTACTTTATTGTGTGTTCTTCTGTAGACCAACCAGAGCATTTTTAGATTCAGTATCACTTATCTCAAATGCTTGGGACTAGAAGTGTTTTGAATTTTGGACTTCTTTGCAGATGTTGGAATATATACATATACATAATGAGATATCTTGGGATAAGATCCAAGTCCAAATGTGAAATTCATTTATGTTTCACAGATCCCTTATGCACATAGTCTGAAGGTAATTTTCTACAACATGGTATTTTCATATTGCAATGTTTTGATCATGACCCATCACATGGGATCAGGTCTTGAATGTTCTACTTCCAATGTCATATTGCTATTCAAAAAACTTTGAATTTTAGGGCATTTCTTATTTTGGATTTTCTGATTACAGTTACTCAACACATGTAATGAAATATATAGTATTTTATTATAAATCTTTTTATTTTTATTGCTTCTTTGTCTTCTAGTTAAGGTATTATGTTGATATTTTTAAATTGTATGTACACAGTTTATATGACTCATGAATTCCATTTCAGTAAATTAAAAAAGTACTATGAAATATTTGTTTTAAAAATGAGGAGAGTAGTGGTTGGCCTACGAGAGTGGAGAATTGGTCTAGAAAGGTATAGTGGCTTTCAAGAGCATGGCTATGCTGTTATCTTGAACTTGAAGTGTCTTGTCTAAAGTGAATGCACTGGAGTGTCCTGATTTATCAGTCCTGGACATATGCAATGAGAGAAATTCAGTGAATACAATGGTTGGAGAGAATAACGCAGCAACATCAGCACACTACTTCTCTAAACAAGAAAATTAAAAAGATCTGGTCCAGTTTCAAGCTTTTCCTCACTCACAGTCCTGACGCATTTTTAACAGCTGTAATACACATCTTCCATAAAAAGCTCTATTTCATTATCTGATGAATATCTAATTTGACAATATTTGCAAATCAAGTTTGTAGAATTCTGTTGTGTTTGTGTGAGTGTGTCTGTGTGTTGTTCTTTCTCAGAATAATTTATGAGGGAGAAATGCTTCCATGTGCTAGAAACTGCTGAGATAGAGAAATTAATTTTGTGGGTAGCCTGCAAATAAACGCTAGGTTGCAAGATGTAATGTAATGTAATGTAATATAATATAATAAGAGTGTCCCCTCGGGATTGACTGTGGCAGATTTCCAATCCCTCAGGCCTCTTTGGTTTCTCTGCTTTAATAATAATGGAATAAAGAATAGTTATTCTCATTATGAGTGCCATTGTATACCAGGAAGAGCGCTGTTTTTCACGCATTAACTTGTTTTTATTGTCACAACAAGCCTATTGCAAAACTTTGGCAAAAATGTTTAAAAATCCCATCCTCCAGCCATAATTTCCTAACTCTAGAAGGTTTTCCTCCAGCCCTCTGACTCCAACAATTCTTTGAATCTTTCAGGATATTTGTCCCATTGATACTAACATTTTTTTTTAACTTTCCCTTACCCTCCTCACCTGACTGGTGGTAGGATCTTAAAGATATCATAAATGCTAAAGATTCCACAAGCCTAAGGATACTCTGATCATTGTCCTGGATAATGCTAATCCAGTAATACTCAAAAAAGTCTAAACAGCCAGAACCGAAAAAGTTTTAGAATTATCTCCTGCCTCACGAGTAGAACAGTTGAAAAAATGGAAATTTCAGTTTACAGTCCAAAGGGCTCAGAGCGGCTGACATAGCAAATGTCAATCTCTGAAACACTGTCACATAGCTCTCAAAGTGTGTGTGTGGGCCCAGTGAAAGAAGATACTGGAAAGGAGAATTCAGTTTGAACTAAGAGAAAATGACAAATACTTTTCTTCTTGTATTGCAACTTCAAATGCACAGCTAGCATGCCATATTAAGCTTTCTAAGAATGGGTTTTCAATGATTATTGTGTCAGTTAAAATGGACCAAATTATATTTTGGTTAACAAAGAGACACTAACCCTCAGTATTTTAAAACAACAAAAGTTTCTTTTTCCCTCATGTGTCCATTGTGGGTTGTCGTTGTAGGAGACCCTGCTATCACATTTATTCAGAGACCCAGACTGATAGGCTGTTTGCCATCTTAGATGTTGCCAGTTGCCATGCCAAAGGAAAATAGAACATGGGGTAGGGGGGAGAATGTGTGTGTCACAGACTGGTAATAAATTTCCCAGCCTGGAAGTGACTCACATTACTTGCACTCAACAACTCACTAGTCAGAACTAGTCAGAGGGCTCTACCCAGCCATAAAAGATCTGGAAAGTTCAAATCCACATGTGTCCAGGAGAGGACAGTGAACAGCATGGTGGGCACTGCTGAGTTCCAGGTAAGGCATGCTGGCCATTTAGTTGGTACTTCTCATTCTTGTCCTGCCCTAATCATCGGAACTGCCTACAAAATCTCACAATGGAGTAAGCTCCCCAAAACCAGTAATGCAGGCAAAGACTGCAGGTTAATGACGCCATAGAGGCTATCCCTTTTCCTAATAAGGTAATAATTTTTCATTTGCCAAAGGGTATGTGTGTTCACCAGAAAGAAAGAGACAGAGAAATAAAGAGAAAGAGAAAGTGAAAAAGCACCTTTGTGGGGAATAATAAAGCTATATTCCCTTCTCTTCCATTTCTCCCTTCTTTTAGGATTTTGGGCATGCAAGTGCCTGGCATGTTTTTTAAGCCACAAGGTCTGGGACTTGAACTGTGTGGCTGGTTACGTGGGATCAAGCTGCCTTAACCATGAAGTCACAGGCAGGCTAGAAGCCCACAGTTTTAAGTTTCCACCTGGGTCCCTTACCACACAGAATAAACGAAAGTAGGTAATATGTAATCCTTCACTAAATGCACCATATATTTAGAAAGAAAAAAATAGTTTTCAAACAACTCAATGCCCAGGTGCTAGGGTGAATCGTATTCATCTGAGACAAACAGATGAATGGGCTGACCATTAAACTGCTTCTTGCTCCTCTTCCCCACAAAGGAGTCAATCACATGAACTCTTTCTATGACAAGAAGTGATTATCAGAAAAATCAAACTTAAAACCAAAGGAAAGAAATTCCACTGGGAGAAGCCCCTATTTCAAAATTCATGGTGCTACCATTTCTTTGTAAAAGTCAGAATCTGGCTCTCAGCTCCCTGTGCACCTGTCGATGGGACAATAGGCAGCTAGTGAGAAAATGCCCTGCTACTCACTTGAGACCATAGCAGCCAGTTAGACTAATTAGAAATTGACAAAACATCTAGAAACTCTGAAGAAAGGGGAAAATATGCTGTAAGGGCTTCCCTTCCCAAGCACAGATAATAGATTTCAAAAATTAGTATCTGAATTCAACCTTCGGTTAACAGACACTTTCCTGACTAATCCACATAATTCAGAAGTTCGGATTATCATTGCAATTGCTTTCAGATACAGAAATGAAGACTAGAAAAAGATTAATTTGGCCCAGCTTTGGCAGCACAGGCACTCATTACAACACCAGAAGCCATATGGTCCACTGTGGGTCAGATCCCTGGCCTGGTTGACCTGAAACACATCAGGATCCCACATGCATGTCCAATTCTGATGAGTCAGAGAACTGGGGAAAGAGGATAACGGGGTAATGGGACCTCGGTGAGGTGACTGTCTCTCTCTCTCCCCCATATGTACATATGCACTATCATGAGTAACCAAAATAATTTTAAAAAATAGAATAACTTCATTCATTCCTTTTCAAAGTGAGTTCATATCTGTGGTACACAGGAAAGTATCCTGAATGGGCTGTACCAAAAACTGATCCTAATCTTTCAAAGCTGACACCATATCACCAGGACTTCCTTATTGCCAGGATTGGTGATGGAGTATTGGGTTTGAGGGACCATAGTTAATGGTAAATGGTACTTTATATGTTCTGAGGGAAATCATTTATCTCTGACATTCTACATTAAGTCAAATTTCCACCCACAGAAGCGTTCATTTTACTCTTTAAATTGTCAAGTGACATAAAATAATTTTCTCTGGTTTCTGCTGCTAAAATGTCCTTATAGTAGAGCTACTTATAAAATCCCAAGAGAATGCAAACATTATAGGATAACTACTGAGTATGTTTACATAAGAGTCAACCACCAAGCACCTAGAAAATGAGCCAAACCATCTGTAGATAAAATGGCTCAGTGACTGATTGACTAACCTGTCTATTTAAGAAGAGCATCTGTGTGCTTCTCCTCTTTGTCACCAGCTCTATCTGCCTCTTCTCCCTAGCTCGAGGCTAATACAGCCTCCTACCAACCTTTAATTCTGGGGTATTGCCCTTTTTAAAAGGAGGGCTAGCATCTATAAATCATAAAGTCTACACCTGAACTCAGTCTGGCCCCAATCTGTTTAGCTGCACATTAGTCCAGGATGAGTTCCTTTCTTTTCCTGTACCTGATTTATTTCTCCTCACCTCCTTTCCCCCCTTCCCAAACTCTTCCCACCTCCATCTTTCTTTATTTCTAACTACATGGGTAAGACATGAACACATTCTTATTGTTAACAAAATTGGATTCACAATAATTAATGTCTGGCATGGCCATATGTAGACAGAGATCTGGAATAACAGGGTTTCTTATGAACTGCTGGTAGGAACATAACCATGATGGGGAGGATTTGGGTACTACTTAGTAAAGATGTGTGCACCCTACAACTGCTCCTAGGCACACAACCTAAAGTAATTCACACATGTGAGTTTCCAACTGTGGGAGCCAGAATTTAGAATTCAAACCTCAGTGTGGGATCCAACTTCCCTAACCAATAGGCTATGGGGCTGGCCTCCAGGAGATATGCTTATTTACAAAATAATTATATTTGTAAAACACTATATGTTATCTACATGTTCATCAACAGAAGAATCAAAAACCAAATTCTATATAGGAGTGAAAAGTTTTAAAATAGATAAATATCAATATTGATTATGTTTTTAAGAAGTGTTTGCCTTAGAGCATGTGTATTCACTGGAGAGAGACAGAAGCAGTGAGAGAAAAAGTGAGAAATCATCCCCCCATGGGGGGATGGCCGTGCCATAATCCGTTCTCCATTCTCCTTCCTGGATCTTGGGCATGCATGCACATGTCCCCAGCATGAGTTTTAAGCCACCAGGTCCAGGACTTCTAGTCTTTTAAAAAGCAAGTTGTAGAATAATATATAAAGTATATTATTTATGTGCTATGATTTGAATGTGTACTCCAAAGTTCATGGGTTGGAAACTTAATCTCCAACATAAGTGTTGCGAGGTGGGATCTTTAATAGGTAACTAGGTTATGAGAGCCTTATCCTCATGAATGGACTAATGTCATTATTATGGCAACAGTTTAGTTATTGAGGAGTGGTACTGATAAAAGAATGATATTGACCCCTTTCTATTCTCCCTCTGTCATATGTACACACGTGTGGACACATGCACATGCCCTCTGCCTTTCCACTTTCCACCATGAGATGACTCAGAAAGAGGGCTTTCTCCAGGTGTGAGCCCCTCAACCTTGGACTTCCCAGCCTTCAAAATGTATGAAATAAATCTCTAGGGACAGGCGGTGGTGCAGCAGTAATGCAACAAGACCCACTTGGTAAAGGCCCTAGGTTCAATACTCAAGACCTTCCTGGACATGCCAGGCATGTTCACACATGTGCCCATGATCCAGGTCAGTTGAGACTGGAGGTGGAAGATGCTACTGGGAGTGCCTGCCAGCCTATCTGTCTAATCCTCTTTCTCTTTCTCATGGAAGAAATATATAAACAAACTTTAGAAAAAAAGACATCTGACTAAAAAAGAAAGAGAGACAAAAAGCAAGAAATCACCCCCCCCAGGGGGGATGGCCATGCTGCAATCCCTTCTCCTCCATTCTCCTCTCGGGATCTTGGGCACACACGCACATGCACCCAGCATGAGTTTTAAGTCACCGGGTCCGGCACACGAACCGTGGTCAACTACATGGGAGTCCAGTGACATAGCCATTACGCTAACTGCTGGTCCCTAAATAAAATAATTCTTAAAAAAAAAAAAACACTACCAGTCTCAGGTATTCTGTTGTAGCAACATAAACTAAGACAAGGATTAAAGACATAAAAAATATTAAACATTATTTGGAATACATGCTTTAAGTACACAAAGCACTAAATAAATGCATGAGAATGATGATTACTCTTAGTGAGTAATTTCTTCTGTAGGGAGAAGTGTAGGGATATAAACGGGAAGGGGTAAGTTGTATTCTCCAGGCCTTATTTTCTAAATTAGATGATGAAGATGTGTTCCATTATACGATGTGCTATTTTGTTAGTTTCATCAATTTCTTAAGTTGTAAACACTCTAGGCAAACAAAATGTAATCATTGTAAATGATCTTAAACCTCATGTTGGGCACTACTGGACACCTAATCCCAGGCACACTTCAGAGGTATCTACTGTTAGTAGCTATTAGTTTTTCTTTTTCCTAATCAATAATATAGCATCTTTTGAACAAGTATATCTCTTCTTTTTTAATGATAGCGTGCACACACACACATGAGACAGAGACAAATATAGAGCAGCGAATAACCCTTAACAGGATCTCATCATGTCATGATCTTCTTTTGCCAGCCTCCCAGTTCATCAAGATCTTGGTTAGCGGTGTGCATACCTGGTCTGTTTTTCAGGCAGACCCACAGATCTGAGCCTGTGTTTGGCCATGTGGTGGCCAGCACTGCAATTCAGTATGTTACGGAAACACGGCAGAACCTGTGACAATGTTCAGCCTTCTAATTCCTGCACACCAAGTTCTGTTTGTCCAAATTCCAGGCATTCTTCTCCCACAGGATAATTTCTTAAACTCACTCAGAGCTGTCAGTTCCTGCCAAGCTAATTTGGCAACTAGAGAAATACACTCAACTGCATATATATCACCATTTTTTCTTTAAATTAAGCCTGAGGGAATGGGCAACCTACTCCTTTTTCACATTAATTCTGGTGATTTTTATATTAAGTTTCACAAAGAATATGTAATTTTCAAGCAATTTATTTTTCTCATAGCTTTCAAAGTTTACTCCAAATTCATCACATCATTTATGTATATTTTATACTTGCACTTAGCAATTTAAAATATCTAAGCGTATTTCTCACCTAATATAAAAGTTGAGATTTACATAATTCCCCAGTATAAGAGAGATTCAGAATGAGAGCTTTGGAGTCAGCCAGACCTGAGTTCAATTCTTAGCTCTGCCATGGGCTACTTCAATGTAAATATATTAGTTTTCTATAGCTAGGCAATAATTACCACAAATTTAGTGAATTAACCCAACATCTACTCATTAGCTCACAGTCTGAGCATGTAACTGAGTTCTCTGCTCAGTGCTAAAATCAAGGTGTAGACAGGACTCTGCTGATCGCATTTAGATCTCAGAATTTCCTTCCCAGCTCACATGTTGCTGGCAGAATCCAGTTTCCTGTATTTGTAGGATTGACTGTTCCCCTCAGCCCCCACTTCTCTTACTGCTGTCGGCGAGGGCCACTCTCAGCTCCTAGAAACAGCCCTCATTCCTTGTGATCTGGTCTCCTCCTCTGTCTTCAAAGACAGCATAAGATTTTCCCCTCACACCAAATCCATCTTGAGCTTCAAATCTTTGGCTTCCCTTTTACCTCTAAATCCAGATATAAAAGGCTCACAGATTTAGTCAAATTTACCTGGATAATAGCCTTATTTCACTCAGCTGATGTGAGACCTTTAGATCCGCAAAATCCATTCACAGTAGCATCCAGATGAGTGATTAAATAATTAGAAAGACTGAGCCCATCATGGAGCAGGAAATGTTGGTGGACATCTTAGAATTCTGCCAGTCATGAGACACTGGATGCCCACAGAGTCAACTGCAGTTCATGTCTCAGGCCTGGCAGCTTAAAACTCATGCTGAGCACCTGTGTTCATACCCCAGATCCTGAGAGCAGAATGGAAGAGAAGGGATTGCAATAAGATCATTCCCCTTAGGGGGTGATTTCTCCCTTTCTGTCTCTTTGTTTCAATCTGTCTCTCTGGAGAGCACACACACCCTATAGCAAAAATCTCTCTTTAAAAAAATAAAAGAATTCTGCCACTCACACCAAGTCATCTTGGCTTTATGAGCCTTAGCTATAAAATAGGAGAAATGGTGCTCACTGCAAAAAAAGTCATTTGGATACAGAGAAACAGCAACAAAAGCTTCCAACTACTGACTGTGCTCAGAAATTAGGCTCCCTGTTTTCATTTCATTTCATCTTCCTGGCAACCTTTGTTTTTGTTTTAGTTTAATTCAGATACAGTTGGTATTTAAAAATCTGCTATACACACACACACACACACACACACACACACATATATATATATATATATATATATATATATACTTGGGCAAGGATGTACACGTGCCTGGCATGAGTCGAACTGCAGTCAAGTCCAGCAGTGTAACCATTACGTCATCAGCTGGTCCTTTTGTGTTTTGAGACAAAGGTAGATTTGCATGCAGTTTTCCGAAATAATGCAGTGTGTATCCCTAGTTGTAATATCTTGCCAAAAGACAGCACAAATTTATACCCATGACATCGATACAATCAAGATACAGAAATTTCCATCACCGCAAAGACCCCTCCCGTTGCCTTTTCAGATCCAGGCTTCATTCCTCTGTTCGTCTTACCTCCTGGCGAGCACTAATCTGTTCTCCATTTCTGTAATTGTTTCATTTTGAAACCGTTGTATACGTGGAATAATAAAGTGGGTAACTGTTTTGGGATTGCTTTTTTCTCTCTGCATATTTCTCTGGATTCATCCAGATTGGTGCTTGTATCTGTATTCATAATTCCCTCGTATTGCTGGGCACTATTTCATGGAAAGGACGTACCACAGCTTGTTTAACCATTCACCCTTCGAAATACATCTGGGTTGCTTCTAGGGTTTTTGCTAGTATGAGATAAACTGCTATAAATATTTGGTTGCAAAGTTCTGGGTGAACCCTGGTTTTCTGTTGTGTGGAATATATACCCAGAAATGCAATTGCTGGCTATAAAATCATTTAATTTTTAATTTTTATATGTTTAAGAATTGTCAAATGTTTTTCCAGAACAGCTGTCCTGTTTTCCATCTCTGTCAGCAATGTATGCATGATCCAGTTTCTCCATATCCTTGCCAGCATTTGGTGATATCACTGGGTTTTGTTTATTTATTTTAGCCATCCTGGTAGGAATGTTCTCATGGTGACCATTCTGATAGGTAAGCTCTAGCTGTGGTTTTAACCTGTACATCGTCTTCAGTGAAATATTTCTCCACAGCTTTTGCCCATCTTCTAATTGGATTGTTGATTTTTTTTATTATTTGTTTTTATTTTTAACATTAATATGCTATACATCATTACAGTATACAAAATGAATTTTTCATCCAAAATACATTGTCTGTTGGCTCAGTCAAGTACATCAACATATGTGTTATCAACAAACAATTTTCCATTTCTTATGTCTTGTATATTTTGAGTTTTTTCTCTTTTTTTGCCATCCTTGATTCCCTATCCCTAACCCTCTGCCCTGTCCAACCCTCCTCCCATTGTCTCTGTTATCCCTGTTTGCTTTCTATGCCTATCCCCCCCATTTAATTGATTTGCTAATGAACTTAATTTGTCTAAATATTTGCAATAGCAAGCACAGCTGATATTTACATACACAAGAACCCATGTCTGACTTTAGGCTTTTCTGTACATGGTCTGCTGAGTTTGGACATATATTATTTACACTTGTGTTACCACCCCCACAATCCAGATAATAAACATATCCATCACCTCCAAAAGTCCCTTTGTTTTCTTTTCTAATGAGATCTATCCTACCAGCAAACAGTAAATGCATTATACATTACAGGGTCAATGACACCTTAACACTATATTAACTGTAGGCACTATTTTGTATAGCAGGTCTCTGGAACTTACTCACCATGTACAGCCAATTGCATACTCACTGAACAACAGCTCCCCCTAACTCCCTCTCCTCATCCCTTGGTAACCACCATTCTGTTGTCTACTTCTACACCTTTGACTATTTTAAATGGCTCACATAAAAGGAAACATGAAGTGTTTATCCTTCTGTGACTGACTTATTTCACTAGGCATAGCGTCTCCTGGGTTTATCCATGTTGTCACAAATGTAGAATGTCCTTTTTAAAGGCTGAATAATATTCCATTGTAAGTGTGCATCATATTTTCTTTACCTATTTTTTCTGTTGATGAGCATCTGGATTTTGACTATTGTGAATAATACTGCAATAAACAGGAGAGTGGAGACATCTCTTCATGATCCTGACTTCTGTTGTTTGGAATATATACCCAGAAATGAGATTGTTGGCTATAAAATCATTTAATTTTTAATTTTTTGAGGAACCTCCATCCTGTTTTCCTTAGCAGCTACACCATTTGACATCCTCAGGGATTCCAGTATCTCCAAAACTTCACTAACACTTGTTAGCTTCAGTTCTGTTCATTTTTATAATAGCTATACTAATATGTGTAAGGTAGTGGTTCTTTGTGCTTTTGATTTGTGGTTCCCTGCTGATTAGTGATGTTGAACATCTTTTGTTAGCCCTGTTGGGCATCTGAATGTCTGCTTTGAAGAAATGTTTATTAAGGTCCTTTGTCCATTTTTATATTGAGTTATTTGTTTTTCTGCTATTGAGTTGTAGGAGTTATGTGTTTTAGAAAATAACCTATTACCATATGTATGACTAGCAAATATTTTCTCTCATTCCACAAGTTGCCTATTTACTCTGTTGTTTTCTTTACTATGGAGAAACTTTCTAATTTGATGTAGTTTCACTTACTAATTTTTATGTTTCTTGCCTATACTTCTGGAGTCATATCCAAGAAATCATTGCTGAGAATAATGTCAAGATCTCACTATGGGGATTGGCAGGTGATATGATGATTAAGGTGCTGGACTCCTTAATCTGACTGAGGTTCAGGTCCTGGACCTGGCAACTTGCTTTCTCACTTTCACTTTCTCTCTCTGTGTGTCTCTTTGGTCAAACAACAACAACAAAACAAAGACAAATCATAATAATAAATAAATTTAAATAAATAGTTATTTTAAGAAAAGATCTTATCATGGAATTTCACTGATAATACTCACAAACACTTATAAATCAAATAAATTTAAAGAAATAGTTATTTTAAGAAAAGATCTTATCATAGATGTTCACTGATAATACTCACAAACACTTATAAATACCAGTTGCCATCATCATCACCATCACTGCCACCATCACCGTCATCATCAGCATCATTTTGTACTGGGCAGGACAAACTCAAAAGCATTCAGTAACACCTACCACTTACCTGCTCTTCACCCAGGTCATGCAAAAACCATGATGATAAGCAGTTTGCAAGATGTTTCTGGGGAACTGCTATTCCTGGAAAGCTGCCTGGTCACTTTTTTTTTTTTTTAATGCCCCAGGAGAGGCTTCTGTTGAAGCTCTCGTTCTGGAACCCACAACATCAGAATCCAGAAGCTTCCAGTCTCTTAACACCAACTTAATGGTGGAATTTGCATAGCCTAGTGCAAAATGAAGCCCTTTTAACATTTACATTTGATCTTTGTTTTCTGGTTACACAGATTCCCTTATCTCATTTTACCTGTTATTTGTTTTAAAGATTTTCACCCCAGTTTACCAAATTTTTAGTGGAGATGAGAGGTGTTTAAAAGCACTTTCAAATCTCATAACAGCATATAAAAATTTCTGTGCCCGCTAAACTAACACTCTACATTCTTTTCAAATAGAAATCTGTAATCATCATAAAAGGGTCAGGTCGGGTAATTCTCAAAGAGGCTTTAGACTTCATCTGTTACAAATGCCTCACTTTACTTCTGAAAAAAACTGAGCACACAGAAAGGAAAGGATTTACTTAAAGTCATAGGTTAATGACACAGTCAGGACCACAGGGACATCTAGCCCAGTCCTTCAGCACTGCACCCTTTCCAATTATCTGTCTCCAGTTGGCATCTAGTTTATAATCTCCAAAGCTCTGCTTAATGACTAACTTCTTTCATTCTGTACATACATGTGTGTGCATATTAACATATCATGCACATGTGTTCACATATTAACACCCAAACAAGTTATTGTGACGTGCAAATAGTTCATCATAGCTTAAAAGTACTCCTGGGCTATCAGAGATTCTGTGATGATTCAATGGGCAGGCTATTTGACAGGACTGTAGACACTGATCACTACTTCTCAAGAGCCATTTGCATCTTCCTCCTGGGTGAGAGACCCCAGTTTTCTTTGGGGACGCCAACATGCCTTGCTCCAACAAACTACACTCTTTTCTAAGCTTTCCTGTTTCAAGATATAGTTTTGGCCAATGAGATATGAGCGGGAATGGCTCGGAGACTGAAGAAGACTTTTGTTCTTGTAAGCAAAAGGATGGGCATTGATGGCATCATCCCTTTTCCTTTCTTCCTCTGGAGCAAGAATTTTATATCTTCAGCAATGACAGCCATCTCGAAGTCACATAAGTGACAACCAAGTGGAATGTCAGAAGGTCCCTGGAGCTTTGAGATCACTGACCTGCCACACCAATCCACACCAATTCAGGATTATTTGTACTTTTTTTTTTTTTCAATTTGAGAGAGAGATTTTTGCTATAAGATGCATGTGCTCACCAGACAGACAGAGAGTGACAGAGAGACAGAAAGCAAGAAATCACCCCTCAAGGGGGGATAGCCATACCACAATCCCTTTTCCTCTAGTCTTCTCTTGGGATTTTGGGTACACTTACACAGGCACTTGGTGTGAATTTCAAGCCTCTGGGTCCAGGATTTAATCCATAGTTGGCCATGTAAGAGTCCAGCACCTAAATCACTACACCATCTGCTGGTACCTATTTATACTTATTTTTCACAAGAGCAGTAATGACAAGAGCAATATTATAGTGCTTAAAGGCATTGCCTGAGACAGGCCTGGATTTAAGTCCCACCTAGCTGACTGACAATGAAAAATGACCTAATTCCTCTGAATGTCAGTTTTCCTAAGTCACAGGATTTATTTAAATATTAAATAAAATAATGTACATAAATAACTTATAATGGTGCCAGACACACATGAGGGGGAGCCTTCCAAAAGTTCATGAAAAGAGTATTATAAAACCATTTTACACATGGATTTCAAAACTTTTGCACCCAAATAAACTTGTACTTAAAATAGATTTTTCCACAAACTGGAAGTCTCCTGTATGGTAGCCCAGTTAAATTCAGGATCTACCTCTGAAATTATTTATTATTATCCAGTATGAATCCAGGGTATGTATACAGAATCTACCTCATTCGTCAGCAAACAACATGTGTTATACTCACACTTTTATAGCTAGATTGGTCATGGAAGGCACAAATTACTAAAACAAGATTAATTAATATTTATCAGAGATTGTTTTAGAATCCTAGAATGCTAAAGCTAGAAATGTTGCTTAATGTTTAGCCAACAAATATTTATTGCTTGCCAAATATATGTTTAAAGGGATGCGAGACATTGTAGACCTACGAGTATATCAGCCAAATAAGATCGCTGTTCTCACGATGTTTGTCTTCAGTAGGAGCATTCCTGAAAGTATATCTGATATTACCATCTTATTTTATAGCCCTGAGAAGTTAAATGACTTACAGATGTATCCAGATCACACGGCTGTTGGTGGTAGACGTTGTAGTAAAATCTGAGCCTTCTGAGTCCCGTTGCATTGATCTTTTGTCTATATCATGATAGCCCTGGTTTAAAATCTTGTATACCAACCCAAGGTATTCCTTGCTATCTGTTGCGGTGACTGAGAAACAAAATCTGATCTCCAACTTCCCCTTCATTTCATACTCCTCTCTCCCATTCCATTATGCTCCAGAAAGTGTGTGGTCTTAGTATTATCTCCCCAAACATGCCAAACTAGTTCCTAGTTTTTCTTCCTGTTTGCTCTTCTTCTCTAGTTTTATTTGCATGGCATTCTTTGATCATTTACATCTCAGCTTGAGCACCACTGGCTTTCATTGCCCCCTAAAAGCATCATTCTCTACCCCACCATGTTTTTTTGTTTGTTTGTTTTTAGTTTTTGCTACATCTGCTCACCAGAGAGACAGAGAAAGAGGAAAAGTGAGGTATTACCTCTGGGATAGAGGGCAATGCCACAATCCATTCTCCTCCATTCTCCTCTTGGGATTTTGGATATACACATACACACGCCAGTATGATTTTCAAGCTGCTGGGTTGGCAAGGAGATTATGGTGCTGGATCCCACATTGCAGATCCCTCCATGTTTTCTTTAAAGTTCATATAAGCAGCTGAAATTTGTCTGATCCTTTTCCCTCACATGTTTGTTGCTGGTATGCGTGAGGGCAGAAACTTGTCTGTCTGGCTCTCTGCTGTATCACAGAACTGTGGTTGGGACCAGAGTTGTCAACCAATAGATTTGTCAAGTGAATACTGAGGGAGGTTGTTGGCTCTGGAAATCTGGGCTCCTAAGGCAATCTTGGATAAATATTTGTGAGCTACTGTTGGGCCATTTATGTTGAATGAATGCCTGAATCCTGAAACCTTTTCATATTTAGCTTCATAAGACATAAGAGCAGAAAGCATCATGGAACAAAGTTACTCAACCCTTTCCTGTGAAACAGGAGGGAATTGACAACTAGTGTTTTTCTCAAGGTCTGGTAGACTAACTTCAACTAGTATGTATGCGGAGTGTGGTTGGAGATGAACTCATCACAGGCCACCTCTCCAAAACGCTGGATGAATGTTGGGTGAGACAGCAAATGATGTGACTGTCATGTGGCCGTACCTTGCTCACAGCTCCACTCCCCACTGCCCTCAATCCTATTAAACCTCCTAGGATAGGTACTGAAATTCCATTGCAGATTTCCCTTTCTTTCATCAAGGACTGCACGCTGGTGGCCCTCACACATCAGAGTTTCTGAAACATGTACATGTGAATGCCTTTGAGTAAAGCAGACAAGCTTTGGTCCCCTGCGCTCTTTTTCTCCAACACACACACACACACACACACACACACACACTGCTCCCTATTATCTCACACCTGGCTGCTTCAGAAACATATGTTACCTCCCTGGTCCCCAGAAGCATCTGGGTTTGGTATCTTTGTCTTAGGGCTAACATATGATTTCTCCAGCTACCAGTGGATTTCCATGAGTGAATGATACAGAGCTAATTTTGTGGCATGGACGACAATATTTTGAAGGTACTACATCTGCTCACCAGAGAGACAGAGAAAGAGGAAAAGTGAGGTATTACCTCTGGGATAGAGGGCAATGCCACAATCCATTCTCCTCCATTCTCCTCTTGGGATTTTGGATATACACATACACACGCCAGTATGATTTTCAAGCTGCTGGGTTGGCAAGGAGATTATGGTGCTGGATCCCACATTGCAGATCCCTCCATGTTTTCTTTAAAGTTCATATAAGCAGCTGAAATTTGTCTGATCCTTTTCCCTCACATGTTTGTTGCTGGTATGCGTGAGGGCAGAAACTTGTCTGTCTGGCTCTCTGCTGTATCACAGAACTGTGGTTGGGACCAGAGTTGTCAACCAATAGATTTGTCAAGTGAATACTGAGGGAGGTTGTTGGCTCTGGAAATCTGGGCTCCTAAGGCAATCTTGGATAAATATTTGTGAGCTACTGTTGGGCCATTTATGTTGAATGAATGCCTGAATCCTGAAACCTTTTCATATTTAGCTTCATAAGACATAAGAGCAGAAAGCATCATGGAACAAAGTTACTCAACCCTTTCCTGTGAAACAGGAGGGAATTGACAACTAGTGTTTTTCTCAAGGTCTGGTAGACTAACTTCAACTAGTATGTATGCGGAGTGTGGTTGGAGATGAACTCATCACAGGCCACCTCTCCAAAACGCTGGATGAATGTTGGGTGAGACAGCAAATGATGTGACTGTCATGTGGCCGTACCTTGCTCACAGCTCCACTCCCCACTGCCCTCAATCCTATTAAACCTCCTAGGATAGGTACTGAAATTCCATTGCAGATTTCCCTTTCTTTCATCAAGGACTGCACGCTGGTGGCCCTCACACATCAGAGTTTCTGAAACATGTACATGTGAATGCCTTTGAGTAAAGCAGACAAGCTTTGGTCCCCTGCGCTCTTTTTCTCCAACACACACACACACACACACACACACACACACTGCTCCCTATTATCTCACACCTGGCTGCTTCAGAAACATATGTTACCTCCCTGGTCCCCAGAAGCATCTGGGTTTGGTATCTTTGTCTTA